AGTCCCGCGTTATTTACCGTTTTACACAATAATTATACTAATGGTATGTAGGACTGTGAAAAAACGACGGAAAGGAATGTCAAAGATTGAAGAAAAATTAAAAAAAGGAGGGGCATGTTTTCGATTTTCAAAAAGTTTGTTGGTGATGAAGTGGGTAGATAAAAGAGAAGTTTATATGATTTCGAGTATGTACACTGCAGACTTTGCAACAACATCGAAATATGGATGAAAACAGAGTGTGCAAAAGCCCGTGTGCGTTATACACTACAATAAGTTAATGGGCATAGTAGACAAGGTGTATAGTGTGATAAATACAGTTAATTGATAAATGAACGCATATTGCCTATATAAATACAAACGCGGAGAACACATATCTATGGCAAAATTTCAGTTAGACTTAAAGCAAATAATCTCAAAATATCATTATAACGTAATTCGTTGTCAAAGCAGAGCCGCTGATAATCCAACAAGATTAACCAGAGAGGCATTTCACCTCATTGTATATAATAAAAGGTAAAAACAGAAGTCGAAGCTGTGTAATGTGTAAATATGTTATTGTGTAAATATATATCTAAAATTTGTTTATCCTTTATAATCTTACATATTATATATCAGTGCTCGTTCAACAAAAATTAATTCTGATCAGTACGATACCCACGTATGTAAATTTAATATGACTGCAAACAGTTAATGATCTAATTTAAACGACTAAATATAGCATAAAGCGTCAATAACAGCACAATTTTTGGTAATAACGTAGTCAGTAACTATGATATGAAAACGAAAATAAGACCATAAAAATAAGTAACATAACGAGTAGCCATATCTGTACGAAAGGTTCGCTCAATATAAATCTTTTTGGGAAACCAGTCCGCTTTCATTTAGATGAATCGATTTTTCCCATAGAGCAGGACGGATTTCTGAAGTGAATTCCTAAAAGGAGTCGGTGCAAATGTGGATTACGCCAAAGGACGAATTCTCGAGTCAGGAAATACTGTTAATTGATATGGAACAAATTCATATCGCCGCTAGAAATAGTATTTTAGAAAAAGTATTTTATTTCGGTGCCACGTAGAGAATAAAGAAGTTAGGAAAGAATATATTCCAAGATTGGAATCATTGCCAGAAATATATACTAGAGACTCGCTAATTAAAAATGAGCAAAGATGAGCATATTTTACGACTATCTACGACGATCATGAGATTGTCATGCCAATGCTGATATTACTAGAATATACAATGTATGAAAATTAATTACAGTGTATCAAAATTCGGATGCCAAAATATTGCAGCTAGCTTCAAGATCATTTCGTTAATAATTACTAGAATAATCAGTGTAAGCCTTAGAATAATGGAATTAATAAAAGTGATAGGACAGGTTAAATAGAATCATTATTGTTTTTGGAACATTTAAACGCGGAAGAAAGGAAAAAATGTGTTGAAGCTTTTAATAGATAGCTCAGACTGTTTTATCTAACAGGAGAAAGTTTAACACTAGATTTACGGGACCCGTCAATTTGACGGATTTCAAACTTTGAAATGAAATAGCCAAAAAACCATAGCATTAATTTTAACCATTTTGCATCGTAAATTAATCATTTCATCCAAAGAATTTATAGACACAATTATTTTTTTCCTAAGTCTTATAAATTTTGAAATTTGTATGTAGTATACCTATTTCTACGAAACCCGTCAAATTAACTGGCTAGCTGACAAAAGAGAAAAGCCGATTGTATAGTCTGAGTTTTAGTCTTTGTCGTCATCTTTGTCTTTTTGTCTGAAATTGCTTATCTTATCGCTGCAGAAACCTTTAAAACAAGAAGCAATGTTCAGTATAATTGTTGCAGTGACCGAGTAAGAAAGTTTTTCAAAGATAGTGTGTACAATGTTCATTTATTGTAGACAGTCTTCGTTTATTGTATTTACAATAGGGTAATTGAATTTGGGCACAGTATTTTTTTATTTTGACCAATCCCCCTTCTTTTCTATCAGGAGTAAATCCAGGAGATATAATAAAATATTAAACAGAATTGTTAATATCAATGAAGATTATTCTGAGGATACTTCCGAAGAAGATCAGTATGAATTAGACCAAAGCGAAGATGAGAGTGAAAGTTTTAAATATATTGAAAATGGAGAGATAGAAGTATCTTCGAATAGTGAAGAGGAAAACTTCTTGAAAGTGTGTCGTAACAAGAAGAGGATGCGTATTCTTTCTAGTTTTGACTCCGAGGATGAGAGGATGAGCATCCCAAGCACATCCCAAAATGTAATGAGTGAAATTAAAATTGCAGTTAACGGGACACAGTGGATAAAACTGAAGGTAGGCGGATCTGAGGGTAGGACACTCGTTTGTACGATATTCAAGGATATCACAGGGCTTATTGGCTAGGCCAAGAAAAATATTATGTTGGATTGTGTAACTAGTGCTTTCGAATTAATAATTGACAGACATATAATGGAACACATAAAAGATTGCACTGAAACGGAGGCACATCGAGTTTTTAAAAAAGACTGGACAATCACAGTTGCTGAGTTACGTAGTTTTTTAGAAATTCTATATACCCGGGGCGCATATGAAGCGAGATCATTGAAAGCTTTTTATTTATGGTCGAAAAAACGGGGACCAACTTTCTTTGCAAACAAAATAAGCAGAGATAAATTTACAGATATTCTGAGATTCATACACTTTGACAAAAAGAAAAATCAACAATCCGAAAGATTACAAATAGATAAATTTGCACTGATATCCGAAATATTGAACAGATATATAAGTAATAGCCAGGCTTGTTTAAGCCAAATGAAAACATATCGATAGATGAACAACTATTTCCAACGAAAGCCTGATACAAGTTTACGCAATGTATGCCAAATAAACCTCATAAATTTGGCATTAAGTTTTGGTTAGCAGTTGACGTCCAAACGAAATATATTTTGAATGGTTTCCCTTACATGGGGAAAGATGACACTCGATGCTCAAAATCGTTGGGCGAGTTTGTAATATTAAAATTAGCCGAACCATATCTAAAACAAGGTAGAAATATAATAACTGATAATTTCTTTACAAGCATCCTGCTAGCTAAAAAATTGCTTGCAAAAAAACAACTTTGGTTGGGATTATTCGGCCTAATAAACAAGAACTACCAAAACCAACGAAAGAAAAAAAGGACAAGATGACTTTGTTTTCCTCACATTTACATAAGTCAGAAAACTGCACGCTTACTGTGTATAAAAGTAAACCTAAGATAATAGTCGTTCTAAGCATCAAACATATAAATGTACAAATAGAAAACAATTATAAACGTGTTCCAGAAATCATTACTTTTTATAATAAAACAAAGTTTGATGTACACGTCGTTGACCAGATAGCACACAAATATAGTGTGAAAGCAGAGAGTTTCCAATGGCACCTTCAAGTTTTTTCAATATATCAGATTTGGTAACGATAAACGCGTGGATATTATATAAAGAGTGCATCGAATCGAAAATATCCAGAAAAGAGTTCATATTTTATTTAGCCGAGGAATTACATGAAAAAGACAAGGAGAAAATTTGTTAAAGAGCAGACGCTTCATTTCTATCACCTTCAACTTCAGAAGTGTGAAAAAGGTGTCAAGTGGGCTACTGCAAAAAAAATAGAAGCAATAATTGTTGTATATATTATAAAAAGATCGTATGCGGAAAATGCACACACAAAATTCAGCATATTTGTAAAAAATGTGCTTAATAAATATGATTACTCAATACCGTTAATATTATTGTTATCATTCCTGTGATAATTAAAAAAAAAGATTTATTAATAATTTATTTAAACGTAAAACCTAATCAATTCAGACTTAACTTGAAGACATCAATTTTTTAAAGAAAATGAGTATTTTCGTTTACCTGTCAATTTGACGGGTGCTCGTGGAGATAGATATATAAGAAACGCCTAATATTAAGGAACATCCAGATACTATCTTACAGGTTCATTACGATAATGAAATTCCAATAAATGTAAAACAGTATAGGTTCTCACCGGTACACAGGGACGAAATAAATAAACAAACACAGGAACATTTAGAGTATGAAATTATTTGGTCGTCACTTTCATCGTACCATTTTTCAATTTGGATGGTTCCAAAGAGTGTGACTTAAAGGGAAATCCAACATGGAGGATGGTAATTGACTACAGAGGGCTAAACGAAAAAACCATTGGTAATCTTCTGCCAAGCATCATAGAGATATTAGATCACCTAGGCTACGCAAAATATTTTTCAATTTTCGACTAAAAATCGGGTTTTCATTAAATCCAAATGTATCTGGACAACATACAACAGCATTCAACAGTCACAAGACAGCATTCTCGAAGTTGCATGGCCCCTTCGAATTTGCGCGAATGTCACTCGGCTTCAAGAATGTTCCGGATACATTTTAACGCCTTATAGAACTCGTTTTGACAAGACTCCAAGGCGATGAAATGTTCGTTTATCTGGACGATATAGTATTGAATGCAAAATCATTTCAAGAACACGAGATAAAATTTAACAAATTAACCCTCTATGAACCCGTGTAACTTTCAAGTCACATTTTAATTTATCGAGATTTTACCAAATAATTATAGCTTTTTTCATGAGATGGCGCATAAATCTTAATTCTATAGTGTTGTCAAGACAACCAATATAATATTCATGACCGTTGCTAGGCTCATCAATCTGAAATAACAAAGTAAATGCTGTGCAAACTGTTCGCAGTAAATATAAGCGAAACCATTTGATATTATTTATGCTTCTGTGAGTGATTATGAAACTAAAAATAGTACACATAATAGCTCTGGGTTCGTATATCAATAACAAACAACCTATTTGTTTGCATTTCAATTTTCAATTTGTTACTGTTTTTTTATGATACAGTTTTGTAACTTTGAGGTCACAATGAGCTATTAAGGCAGATTTCGGTACATTTAGAATAAAGCTTGTGCTTTCTCCTATTTTCAGATTTATACATTATATACCCAAAATATGAAAACAAAATCACATAGAAATAACAGAGGAATTACAATTAGACGCATTAGCGGTAATAGGTCTGATGATTCCTTATTAAATTCCGAGTCCGATGAGGATGTAATAGTATTTCCACGACGACGAATAAATGTTATTGATAGTGATAGAAAATTTAATACTCAATCCTCGTCAGATGAGGAAGATGCAGAACCACAAAGAATTATTTGGCAACCACTATCCCAGACGAATAATAATAGTTGTTATCGCCCTTGGAAAGGAGATTGCCCTAACGTCCCTGAAGTACTCCATTCTCCTATGACCAATTTTCGACAACTATTTGACAAGGAAATTATAAGTAATATAGTTGACTATACCAACATGTATGCACTGCAATGTGATCCAGCAAAACCCATTGCTGTTTCAGTGAATGAAATCGAACAATTCTTTGGCTGCTGTTTTTTTATGTCCATTTACGGATTACCGAGAACTGAAATGTATTGGAATTTAAAGACAAGTATGTCTGCTGTTGCCGATGAGGCTACTATGAGCCGTACGCGATGGAGAGAAATAAAATCAAAAATACATTTTAGTAGAAAGTTACGGGCCAATGCAACAAACAATGCAAAAATGACCGATAGTTTACAAAAAATAAGACCCATTCTGAATAAATTGGTGAAAAATTTTAATCACATTCCGATGTCTGAACACGTATGTGTTGACGAGCAGATTATACCGTTCAAAGGAAGACATAGGCTAAAAAACTATATGCCCAAAAAACCTAAAAAATGGGGCTACAAAGCTTTTTTACTGTGCGACTCATCAGAACTCATTTACAATTTTGAAATTTACACCGGCAAAGTGATACATGATCCCGAATTACTTAATGTCGGAAGTAGTGGTAATGTCGTATTACGAGTAGCAAAAATTATACCCAAACAATTATTTTACAAAATTTGTTTCGACAATAGGTTTCCAACGTTGTCTTTAGTAACTGAATTAGAAAAATTAGAAATTCAGAGTGTTGCAACTGTGCGGTCAAACCGACTAAAAAACTGTGAGTTTTCGTCCGATAAAGTCATGAAAACTAAGGGCCGAGGAAGTTATGAGATACTTTCTACATCTATTGATAGGGTCATCATAAAAGCGATAAAGTGGTACGATAATTTGATGAGCACGTTTTGCGAAGTTGAACCAGTACACATAGTGAAAAGGTGGAACAAAAAAATAAACAGAATGATCGATGTACAACAACCAAATATAGTGAAAACATACAACCAACACATGGGTGGAGTAGATTTGGTTGATTCGTTAATAGCGTTGTATCGAAGAAAAATTTGATCAAAGAAGTGGTACCACCGCATTATGTTTCACCTCTTAGATTTGACGGTGGTCAATGCTTGGTTCTTATATAAGTGAGATTGCTCATCGCATTCTGTAAGCCCCGGCCGTCAGAATAGTTTATTGAAATTTAAACCTGACATTGCATCTTGTTTATGTCAGAACACAAAGGAACCCAGAAGGAAAGGGGGCGTCCTACTTCAAATGAGGTGTATAAACAATTGCAAAATAAAAGAAAAAGAAAAAGAGACCAAATACAACACTACCTGTAGAAGACGTGTGAAAAGATGAAGTGGCATATTGACCAATTTTTTCGGATAACAGAGGACGTTGCAAAAAGCCCGGATGTAAAGGAGTTCCCAAAATTAAATGTCCCAAATGTAATGTATATTTATGTTTAACGCCAAGTGCAAACTGTTTTGTGGAATTCCACGCTTAAGTTTTCAAACACAGAAATGCAAACATTATAGGCCGTTGTGACCTGAAAGTCATATAGTGAATATACTGAAATAAAATTGTTTAAACGGAAATTTTTTTTCTTCATTTGCATATATAGGTTTATAATTGCTGATTTTTCATTCCCCCAATTTTTTTGGATTTAAAACAAAAATTCGGCCCAAAGAGGATTAATAAAAGGGTTAAGGGCAACTAATTTCAAGCTGCATCCGGACAAGTATGAGTTTTTGAAGAAGGAAGTAGCATATATAGAACACATTATTGGAGAAAGCATGGTAAAATCGGATTCAAAGAAATTAGACGTGGTTAAGAAATTTCCGCTACCGCAGAAGGTCAAGAATATTTATAGGCCTCACCGGATATTACCGTAGGTTCATACCGGGATTTTTAAAAATGTCTAAACCATTGACCGACCTATTAACCCTTTCGCTCCGAGCGCCACATATATGCGGCATCCACTTGACGATATGTGGGTACGGGCGCCGCATCTACGCGGCATCCACGCCACGACTTCTGGGTACGAGCGCCGCATATATGCGGCATCGAAATGATCTGTACAAGTGCCATCTATAGTCGATGGTAACATTTTTCGTTATTGGCAGAGCATTTTCCGTTGATTTTATTGACATATTGGATTAATCATTTCTTAAAACTTTTTAAAACTGCTCTTTGTTGAAACCACATCCAAACGTATTACGCAATAAACTACAAACATCAAGGCGATCGTTTACTCTTTTATACCAAATATTCTACCGAATCCATTTGGCAGTAAACGATTCTACATATTTGGTTTTTACAGGAATTAGGAATAGATCGGCTTAAGGTGTAATTCTTAACTCTTAAAAATTAGAATTTTCAGGTTAGGGTTTTGTTTGAAAATATATTTACAAAAATAGTTTAGGCCCTTTCAGAAGGAGTACAAAGCATAAAAATAGTATTATGTTTGAAACTGAAGTAAATAATTCTGAAAATGAAAATAATGTCCATCGGTGTAAAAGATGACGGAGAAATAATATATGCAGCACTTCAGAATCAGAAGCAGAGTTAATTGATGATAATACAAAGGACACCAAGTGCAACACAAGATGGACATCGAAAAATTTCGCACCAAGTATTCATAAATTTTCCTCAGGAAATTCAGGACTGAAGAAAAAAATAGGAAGATCGTCAAAAATTATCGATTATTTCGAATTGTCTTTTTATCAAAAGCTCGTAAAATATATTGTAGATGAGACCAATTATTACTCGCCTCAAAAGAGCAATAACAACATGGATACTCAAAAAAACACGACACTAGAGGAAATGTACTGTTTCTTTGCGTTGTCACTACTCATGACACGTAATAAAAAACTAGCATTACACAAGTATTGGAGTATTGATAAATACTTACGCAGTAGTATTATTAGTGAAGTAATGACCAAAGATCGGTATCTTTGGATACTACAGATGATACATTTTAGCCGTCAACAAGAGCCCGCTGATAATCGTCTATATAAAATAAGTGACATAATAAACATGCTACGAAAATCGTTCTGCGAAACATTTTATCCGTATGAAAAAGTTTGCATTAATGAAAGCTTGATGTTATACAAAGGTGGCCTGTCCTCCAAGCAGTACATTACCTCGAAAAGGAATCGATTTGGAATAAAATCATACATACTCTGTGATTGCAAAACAGGTTATGTCCAAGACTTTATAGTTTATGAAGGAAAGTCAATTGTTACAGAAAGTGACATCAGTGGAATTGGAAAATCAGGTGCAATTGTTTTATCACTCTTGCCACCATACTTAGGCCAAGGTCACACACTATACACTGACAATTTTTATTCAAGTCCAGCATTATTTAACTTTTTACACGATAACTGTACGAATGTATGCAGCACTGTAAAACTAAGACGTCAAGGAATGCCAACGATGGAACAGCGATTGAAAAAAGGAGAGGCATGTTTTCGTGCAGCAAAAAACTTGCTAGCGATGAAGTGGATAAATAAAAAAGAAATCCATATGGTTTCTACTATACATACTGTAAATTTTGAAGCAGTATCGAGATATGAAGGGGAACAGAGTATCCAGAAGCAGCTAAAGTGGTCTCGGAAATTTTTCTTCCACCTCATAAACATCTGTGTGTGGAATGCATATTGTATGTACAAGCACAATCGGAGAGAAAAAATATCAAAAGAGATGGCAAAATTTCATTTGACGCTGATAAAACAGATAGTCGAAAAGTATCGTCACAATGCAACGGGACGTCAAAGCAGACCCGCTAATAATCAGATGAGGTTAACTGACAGGCATTTTCCCACATTTTGTAAGCTGAAAACAGAAGACGGAGGTGCGTAATTTATAGTAAAAATGATAAAAGAACGGATTCGCGGTATGAGTGTAAAGATTGCGATGTTGGCCTTTGTACAGATCCTTGCTTCCAAATATATTGCACAGAATTACATTATTAGTTTTTACATATTTTTTACATATTTACATATTTTGTTACATATTTTCTACATATATTTTACGTATTATATTTACACATTATATTTTAATAATTTTCGTGTCGCTATTAATTATATTAAATATTTAATCGTTATGCTTTGTAATTATATAAATACCTATGTTACCTATAATTTTGTATTTTGTATTTTAATAATTTTGTAAGTCCTTTCATACTAAAAATGTAAAAATACTTATTACATTAGAGCAATGATTGTTTTATTCAGCACAGTTCCTATTTAAGACTTAGAACAACATACATACAGAAACCACGCGCACTGTGCATATTTCCGGCGCGAGTTTCCGTTCAGTGAAGGTACTTCGGCGGGACGGGGCTACTGTAGCGAAAGGGTTAATGTATCCTCTCATTAACACGTTCCGTGGCAAACCGTTTTTGCCCGACTTGTCGTTTGGGCTATTTGATATTTTGTCTTTAGATTGGTATATTATCACACAATATTTCATTGCATCATCAATCCATAAGCTTGTTTAGAATAATTATCACAACCTGGTGGTTCTGCAATCATTTCGATTGTAAAAGTCAGTCAGTTCGAAACTTATCCATTAGTAAAAAGAACCTGCTATATTCGAATTTGTTAAGAAAAAACGAAGAAAATAAAATATTTAATAAAAAAGAGAGTAAATAAGTAGGTAAACATATAGAGATAATATTTTTGGTTTTTCATTTGTTTCTGTTGAAAAACAAGTTTCTATTGTTAACTTTCATTAATTTATTCTTTCATTATTTAATTTTTTATTTGATCGCGTGATTCAACTTTCAATTTTTATCCCTAATGATATGCAATATGAAAGTACAAAACACAGATAGTTCCAATTCTATTTCCAATGAAAAAGAACTCCCATTTAGTATAAAACGCTCGCGCAGATTTATATTATATTACCATCCGATGAGACAAGCAATGTTACCGCGCGTCATAGATCGAAATGCCGCCGAATTGTATATAGTTGCGAAAATGAAGATGAAGCACAAAATATTGCTGATAGTTTAACAGATCAATGAATAAATCCAAGTGGAAATTAACCTTCATTTATATCATTCATGGGTACACCTGGAATAACATTATCGGATTATTTGTGGAAAGAAAATTTTTACTTACTACTTGTTACCGAAGAAATATTCCAAGACAGAATAGAACAGACTAACATTTACGCGATGCAAACATTGGCTCAGAAACAGTCATATCTTTGAACGACATGTTCATCTTAAAAATCAATTCATGTCAAGATAAAAACTATAAGAGTAGTGATGTTCTGTAATTGTCCAAACAAGTCGTTTTTATACATTTCTTGCATTAAAAAAGTCAACCACTACATGTAATTATTAATTATTATATAGATAACAATTAAACATATTTAAGTGCTTTGGTCTATACTAGATTTTTTATAATGCTTTATTCTTTTAGTGGAAATATATTTTACAGAATTAAATTTGTCATAAAATATATTTTCAGCACATTAAATAAACATGCCTTAATGTACCATTTATGGTACACTTGGCTTGAAGATCAAGTTTAATGTATACCATAAATGGTATACGTGGCACGGAGCATGTTAATGTTACGCAATAGATTCGCGCAAGAAAGGCGATTCTTTTAGCATGACTTTAGTCGTCATTTTGTCTGAACAATGTTATCATTGTTTTTAATTTAATCATTGTTTACAATTTGAAGATTATTTTATACGTACTTTATGTTCCCACATTATCTACTGATATTGACCTTGTACTTCTTTCATTGTCTTTTACATGTCCTTGCAGTACAAAATTTGCAACAAGAAACTTGATTTGTTGTAAGTCAATTCCAAAGTATTTATTTTCAAGCTTTCTATTCGTGGGTTAAGAAATTCGAACGAAACCATCGAATAAGCCAACGGAAAGTAAGAAAGTATGTGATAAAAATTTACACGTATATCACCAGATAGTCTATAGCTACTGATGGTATTCCCAAAATAGCTGTTACCTTGGCTTAGTATGAGTACACTGAAATGCTCCAAAACTTCACTATATGAACTTTTTAGCATATCTTTTAGCTATTATG